GGCTTTGTGGGGAGCAGTTCCAGAGCATCGCCCGGGGACTCCGTGACAGCAAGTAATGGGGGGGAGGGCAGATGTGGTTAAGGGCGCAGGAAAGACGACTAACCCTGGTAACCATGGTTGTGGTGTGTGTGTGTGTAAAACCAGGGTAACCCTGGTGCGGGGGGTAACCAGGATAACCTGGCCAGGGAGTAACCAGGATAACCTGGCCAGGGTGCTGTGACCATGGTAATCGGGCTCGGGGGTAACTGTGTAACTGGGCCAGGGGGTAACTGTGGTAACTGGGCCAGAGTGTGTGTGACCGTAGTAACCTGGGCGGGGGTGTGGCGGGGTAGCTATGCTGGGGGCTAAACATGATAACCAGGATTGAGGATAACTGCGGTAACCTGGCCAGGGGTGTGCAACCATGGTAACCAGGCTGGGTGGTAACCGTGGTAATCGGGCCAGGGTACCTGGGCCAGGGGTAACCGGGCTGGGGGCAACCGGGCTGGGGGTTAATCTTGGTAAGCTGGCTGGGGGGTAACCAGGCTGGGTGTGTGTGACCATGGTAACCGGGCTGGTTGTGTGTGACCGGGGTAACCTGGCTGTGGGGTAACTGTGGTAACCAGTCCAGGGGGTAACTGTGATAACCTGGCTGGGGGGTAACCTAGCCAGGGGTGTGTGACCATGGTAACCGGGCCGGGGGTATGGCGGGGTAGTAATGCCTGGGGCTAACCATGGTAACCAGGCTGGAGGATAACTGGGGTAACCTGGCCAGGGGTGTGTGACCAAGGTAACCAGGCTGGGGATAACCGGGGTAATCGGGCTGAGGGGTAACCAGGGTAACCAGGCTGGGGTAATCGTGATAATCGGGCCAGGGTACCTGGGGTAATCGGCCTGGGTTCTCTCCCCACCCCTGGGACCAGGACGCCTGGGTTCTTTCGGGCTGGGGGAAACCGAGGTAACCGGCCGTGGGTAACTGGAGTAACCGGGCTGGGGGAACCAGGCCAGGGGGTAACCATGGTAAGCTGGCTGGGGGGTTGTGACGAAGTGGGACTGTTTTTAATGTTTCCTACTGTGTGGGTGCCTCAGTTTCCCCTTTGCATTTCTTAAGTCTCTAGGTGGTGGGTTAAAGGGCAGTGTGCATAAATCACCAACACTCTGTCTCCCTGGCAACAAATGGCCGGGCCCCTTCCCCCCCTGCAAGGAAATAGCTAAAGGTGAACAAAGAGATCAGGTGACCTTCTGGCCTGGGAAAAAGACAAAGCCCAGAGAGGAGGGGCTGGAGGGGGTTTCAGTTTGGAGCTACCTGGGGACTAGGAGTGAGGGCAGACGTGGGTGTCTGGCTCGCTGGGCCCCAGAATGGACCCGGCCGAGGGGTCCCGTTCGCCGCTGGCCCTACAAGCTCTGTTTTAGACCATGTCCCTGTCATCTAATAAACCTCTGTGTTACTGGCTGGCTGAGAGTCACGTCTGACTGCAAAGTGGGGGTGCAGGACTCTCTGGCTTCCCCAGGACCCCGCCGGGGCGGACTCGCTGTGGGAAGCGCACGGAGGGGCATATGCTGAATGCTCCGGGAGAGACCCAGGAGGTGAAGCCATGTGAGCTTCTTGCCCTGAAGACAGTCTGCTCCGAGGGAGAGGAGGCTCCCCAAAGTCCTGACTGGTTTTGGGGGGAGCAGTTCCAGATCATCGCTCGGGGACTCCATGACGGGGTAATCAGGCCAGGTGTGTGTGACCATGGTAACCGGGCTGTGGGGTAACCACGGTAACCAGGCCGGAGGATAACTGGGGTAACCTGGCCAGAGGTGTGTAACCGTGGTAATCGGGACAGGGGTAAACATGGTAACCAGGATGGGTGTGTGTGACCATAGTAACCGGGATGCAGGGGATGTGACCATGGTAACCAGGCTGGGGTTAACCAGCGTAACCATGCAAGGGTAACCGGGGTAACCAGGCCAGGGATAACCGGGCCGGGGTACTCACTGCCAGCGCCCACCCTCTGCTGGGCGATGTGTTTCTCCAGGTGGGCGCGGAAGCGGCTTTCGCCCCCCGGGCGCCCCCGGGAGCCGTCGTCCACCAGGAAGAAGAGCGAGTGGTTATTGTCCAGGGAGCGGGCGGTGTCTGCGGCGGCGACCCGGGCGTAGCGGGCAGGGAACGAGCCCTGGAGGGGGAGAGCGGGTGAGCCTGGTGACCGGCCAGACCCCCCCGAGACACACCCCAGCACCCAACCCAACCCCCCCAGAGACCCTCCAGCCCCC